TCCCCACCTCTCTCAGCAGGCAATGGAAATAGCCAAGAAATCCTCAAAGTCTGTTTTTTTTATAATTTCATAATGCTAAGGAATCCAAAGGTTTATTCCCCCTCTATTCACAGTAGATTAGAATTAAATGGATTAAGGCCTACACACTAGTCATTTCTAGTGTGATGAGGAGCAGCAGTTTCACACTAACCTGCTTCATAGCCCTGGTCTGAGCAGCAGAACCTACACGGGACACGGACAGACCAACATTGATGGCTGGACGGATACCTTTGTAGAACAACTCAGTTTCCAAGAAAATCTGTAGGAGAAAAAGTGTTTTATTATCTTGGTCAGAAGCCTGGAAGCCTCCTCAGAGACCTGCCAGTAAGTTACACAAAAGTACTAGCATGCAAACAAGTCCTACCTGTCCGTCAGTGATGGAGATGACATTGGTTGGAATGTAAGCAGACACATCACCAGCCTGAGTTTCAATGACAGGCAAGGCAGTCAGAGAGCCGCCTCCAAAGGAATCGTTCATTTTGGCTGCTCTCTCCAGCAGGCGAGAATGCAGGTAGAACACATCACCTGGGTAGGCTTCACGACCAGGTGGACGACGCAGCAGCAGAGACATCTGACGAAAGGCAACAGCCTGTGTGGTAGAAAGAAAGATTTCAGACTTCAGTAGCTCGTTTAAAATTCTGGAATTCTAAACCTGAGCTGATCTTACAGCTGCAAACACAAATGCTAGACAATGAGGCTTACAAGCAATATTTACTGACCTGTTTGGACAAATCATCATAGATGATTAACGCATGTTTTCCATTGTCTCTGAAGTATTCCCCCATGGAGCAGCCTGAATAGGGAGCCAGATACTGAAGGGGTGCGGCATCGGATGGTGTGGGAGACCACACAAACCACAATAGTGTACTTCATGGCATCTGGAAAGAATTGGAGACACACAACAGCATAAGTACATAACCTCATCATGCCCACAATCAGCAAATACAACACATACGTGAAGTACTACTAGCTCCTGAAGCAAGCCCAGGCAGCAGCACTACACTGTTACAGGAAAGAACACCACGCTAGATTAGTATGTCCCTTCGCACAACTAACTCAAAAAGTTTCAAGAGCAAGTTGATGGCAATCAGTGGCTAACTAGGAAAGAAATCTGCACATGTTAAAGTGAAGTTTAAACTTTCACTAAGACACTTTGGTTCTACAAGTAACTCAGCCTGAAAGTCTGCTATTTCCCAGCTTCTGCAAGGAAGTACTATTCATATTTCATAGTAATACACAAATCAGTGTCATTAAAATGCAGGGTTTTTTATTGCTAGGTATTGCTAGGCAAGAGGCAAGGTGCCTGATCTCTTGCAAGCTCTATTACATACACAGCCCTGGTCAACAAGATCATAGTTTCTGAAGAGATGCTGTCATTTAACCCCTCACATTTGGACAGTCAAGTCTGTTTGGGAGCAAAGTGTCTCCATTAAACTTGTAACTGCCAATCACACTGACCTGCATACATGTTACAAATGTCAAGACCATGAACACTTGCAGGCCATAGCTTGTCATCAGACCTGTCCAAATGCCAAGAGGAAGCTCTCTGAACTCTGCTAAAAAAAACCATGGAAGGTGACTTTTCCAAAAGCAATTCAGCAGTTTCAGAGCCTCACACCAGTCTTCTAATACAATGGAGCAAAGGCGTTTCCCCCCCCCCAGATACCTAGGAAGATTTCTTGTCCAGAAAAGCAAGTAGTTCTCATGTGTAATAAGACAATAATTCTGTCCCTATTTGCAGCTAGCAGATTTCATCACAGTATTCAGCAATATAATGAGAACAAGATGTCATGAGTTGTCAGACTCAACCACCTACAAAAATCCGTACCTGCATCAGTAAGCCTCTTCACCAGCTGAGCAACAGTAGATCTCTTCTGGCCAATTGCAACATAGATGCAGTACAGCTTCTTTTTCTCATCTGTTCCATCATTAAATCGTTTCTGGTTGATTATTGTGTCAATTGCAATTGAAGTTTTCCTATGTAACAGAGAGCTCTGTCAGTTAAGCTGCCTATGGTTCTCCCAGCCTCCACACAGCTCTGTGCTCAGCTTTGTACATCACCACATGCCGTACTCAAATCTCTGTTTAAGGGAGCACTTTTAGCCTGGCCATTTAACTTACCCGGTCTGCCTGTCACCAATGATCAGCTCACGCTGGCCACGACCAATTGGCACCAAGCTGTCCACAGCCTTAATACCAGTCTGCATAGGTTCACGCACAGCGATTCTGGGAATGATCCCAGGGGCCTTTAAGCCAACTCTTCTACGCGTCTTGGATGTAACAGGACCCTTTTAAAATTGAGGAAAAAAACCCAAAACAACCCGTTACAGTCTGTATCACATAGACACAAGCAACTGGAGTGAAGACCTAGTGACACTCACCTTCCCATCAATTGGATTGCCCAGGGCATCTACAACGCGGCCCAGCAGCTCTTCCCCAACGGGAACGTCCACAATGGCACCAGTCCTCTTCACAACATCCCCTTCCTTGATCAGTCTGTCATTACCAAACACGACAACACCAACGTTGTCGGGCTCCAAATTCAAGGACATACCCTAGGACAAAGATCACACTATCCTCAGAAAACACGTGCTGACAGTTTAATACTGTTATGATTATCCTACAGCGTAGAACACCCAGCATCATCTCATCTCAATCCTACTTGCAATAACAGGCAATGTTCTGCTTTTATGTACAATGCAGACATGTTCTTCTATGCTGGTGAGAAAACCTGCCTAAGTCTTCACCTTACTACATAATTAATTACATGTTCTATAAAAGAACACAAAGGATAAGCAGGGTCGAAATACAACATCTCTCTCTTGCTTCAGAATTGGACAAGGGTAAAGCGCTGGCAGCTTTCCTGTCTAAGGTGAGTTAGGTCATTAAAAATACTGGAAATTATGTTGCAGTACTCTCAGAACAGCCAGACAGCCTTTTAACTCCAGTCTACTTTTAGGACTACAAGAAGCCAGCAAATGGCACACTGTATTGGAAGCAGAGAGGCTATTATTCAACAGTAACCAGAAAAGCCAGCCTGAAACCAAAAAAACCAAATGCCCGGTTATTTCTTAATACTTCAAAGATGACGACAAATAAAGTTTAAATGTTGGCCAAGAACTAGATAAGAATACTGAAAGCAAAGAATTACAAATTCAAATAATATTTAGGTTTTTTTGTAGCACTATTTCAACTAGTTACTATGCATTAAAATTGTAGTGAAGCCTGTAAAAGATCCATCTGGGTACCTACAAGCATAGTCTCAGGTTCTCCTTAAAGAAAAAAAAAAGTCATCTTTATACTTCCAGGCTAAACAAACTGCTTCAGTGAAAGCTTACCTTCAGTCCAGAAGAGAATTCAACCATTTCTTCTGCTTGGACATTTCTCAGGCCGTACACACGGGCAATACCATCACCAATTGAGAGCACACGACCAGTCTCCTCAAGCTCAGCAGAGGTGTCAGCTCCCAAAATACGTTCCTCAAGAATAGAGGATACCTCAGCAGTACCTGCAAAGAGAAGTTTCAAACCAGATTTAGGACATTAAGACACAAGATGAATTCAGTAAGCTTGTTTTGAATTCACAACGCGAGGTACACCACAAGGTCGAACAAGCAACTCTCTTCCCAACATAAAACATGGTGAGTAACAGCTTCTGTATTCTCAGCCAATGAAAGCAGCTTCAACACATCACTACAAGCCAGCTTCAATCAAAACACTGATGGCTGTTCAGTTATCAGCTTCCATCATTATGACCTACATTACTAGCAATCTCTGCCTCTAGAAAGCAGTTAGAATAATTAGCTTTAGCTCAGAAAGAACAGACATGCCAGGTCCTCTTGCAGAGCATTTTACTTAGATTGGAGGCATCAAAACACCCTGCCAGCTGATTTGTAATCCAATTTAAAGGAGCTCAATACATTTAAGGAGCAAGTTCATGGAATCATTTGGTTGGAAAAGACCTTTAAGATCATTCTCCACCTTCTTGAAATTTGTTTGGCAGTCTACCTCCGAAAACTATTTATTTCCTCAGCTAGAACACAGTAAATGACACTGTGAAACTTATTTCCTAATAATACCTTTAATCACCCTAAACCACTTCAAAAATTGTACATGAACCACTACCAATAATACCGCTATGCAGTGTCACTGCCTTCTCTAAACACCAAGATGCTGGCAGCAAGAGTTATACTCAAGGACACAAGGTCACACCAATGCAGGCCTGGGAGAGTCCTCTGCTTCTTCATCCTGTTACAAACAAGACAGGAAACTCGCATTTGAGGTATTTATTTCAAATAATTCTGCAGGAGTTGGAGACTGAAACAAATCCTCATGAAGCAGGTAAGCTGTGTAAGCCAACCGACACGTGACCATTCCTTTGGGCATAACTTGAACAGTTATAGAAATGAAGTCTCCTCGATGCAGTTGTATAACAGACAGTTCACTGTTAAATACTGTCAGTACATAAACGTCCTCAAGTGTTTTCTCAACTGGCACACACATACTCACTCTCACACTCCATATTCAAATTTCTTTTTGCCTGATAGAGCACATTCTTAAACCACACTCTGATATGAAGCCCTTTCTCAGACTCACCAGTTTTCTGAAAGCATGTTTTGGAGGCATGGATGTTTCTTGTAGCAACAAATGCCGCACCCAGGGTGTTTCTGGAAATCTAAAATAAGTGATTGTTTCAGTGAGATTTCCTCAATCACTACAAAAAACGTCAAGAGATAACACACTTAAATTTTTTATCATGATCTTATGCATTTCATGTAGCTCAGTTGTGAGTTGAGCTCCAAGCACTCTATTCACAAGCTGCAGTTATGGAATCAAGTTCAGCACTACACTAAGCAAGGACAGAGAGTAAAGGAGATTGCTCTAAATCACTCCCTGCATTTATCTGCATTGCACTGATGTCACCATCACAGCACTGCAGCAGCTCCCAAAGCAACATCTCCTCTCGTGTGCCACCGTGGCACCGAACATGAGAAGTCTGGGGCATAAAGAAATTGGTGCATGATTCTGCACAAGGGAGAAATACAATCGTGTCTTCTGAAAGTTGGCCTTTCTAAAAATCCAACTGCAGAATGTCTTAAGCATGGCTAAAATATATACAGAATAGCAGAAACAGAAAAAAAAGAAAAAAGAAAAATTTGTAATAATTAATACATTAGAAGATTACAATCTAACATCCCGAGTAAAGCTCCCAGTGCAGTCCCATGCAGCTTTAACACTATTTCTCTGAAAGCCTGGGCAGGCCTCTGCTCTATTCACCTTCACAAGGGACACAGCCAGGGGAATGGCTCCTGACAGCTCTCCACACC